GTAACAGCAGTGTGCATGTATTTAACCTACTCGTCATGTTTTCTTCCAGCAAACGCTACTGAGCGAACCGTTTGTTAGTATAATTTCTACACGCCTGTTAATCTCGGACAAGAAGAGACAGTTCTTAGATCTGAAAATTGGGAATGTGATGATGCAGAAAGTATCTCGAATGGAAACTTCACAGGTTGGTATTTTATGAGAAGACTGCTTTCAATCCGCCTTTTCTCTTATAAAGCTAATCATTTAAGCAGGTTGTCAGAATTTAGCTGTTGCAGTCACGACGGTGAAGATAAACCTGTATAGTGCTACGCGACCGCAAAAAGTTATTATCACGAGTACATCTTCACTGTAGAGTTTCTCCTTTCCCAGAATTCACAGCAAATCCATTCCACACCTCGTTTCACTTCACACGAGTACTACGCGGCTAGCATTATGTTTACATATGAAAGTAATTAACTGTTCTCGTAATGTACGCTCACACATTCTGGTTAAAAACTCTCTTCCAGGCCAAAGAAATATCGAACCTCATTTACAAGTACGTTGCCATGTACTCGTCTGCCAAACAAGAGGGCCAAGGACTTGCAGGCGTGTTGCGAAACAACCAGGAGGCCCAGCGAATGTGAACACCTTTAAGTAGTGTGCCTTTATGGTCTTCACTGTCTCAGCTGGTCATGTGACTGCAAAAAAACAGACTGTCACAAATCTCGCACTATTATGGTGTCAAGAATCTGAGTACGGCTCGTTTATTTTTGTAACTGGTCGTTAGACATTTGTGTTTTTATGATCCAGGTGATGTCCACTAGAACAGACAGAGGTCTTCTTTCTACGTGCATCATAAAGTGAAGCCAGTTTCTATAGGAAATTTAATATACATAGAATAACTGTACAAAGAACATTGCTAGAAATTCGTGCTACCCATTTATTATCAGATATGAATAGTATATAAATTTGTATTGAAATACATGATAGAAAGAGGACTTCGCAGATAACTGTAAGGTCGTCCAGATAGTCATTTGTCGAAATATAATGCTATAAACACCAACGTTTTATGCCTTGAATTGAAGCCTCAAGGTATTATTCTTAATTTGTTCATTGATAAGCATATTGTTAGGTGTTTTTTTGTGCTTGACCACGTATTATTGTTTTTTGTTGTTTTTGCATTGTCCCATGAAGAATGAAAGGTAACGTTACTTTTCTGTTTGTCTTAACGACGCTTTAGTTCAAATAGATGTTTTGTAAAATCTTTTTTTGCCCAGCAAGTCGTTTTCAGCTTAAGGGGTTCCTGAGGTATGATGTCCGTCTTCTGTTATCCTGGGTAATACGTTAAGAGTAGTTAACTTAGTTTGTCCTCATTTAATTTAAACTCGCAGAAGTTCGAAAATATATCGTCAGTGATAGTTTTGTCCTCACTTGGGGGATGCCATGCAAAAATTTTGATAAATTGGTATATATTTTGTAAAGTAATTTGAGAAGCAAACGATGTTCATAGAACATTTGCTAATGGCACTAATCGTCCCAAAGCCCTACTCTCGTTTTTATTTTTGCTTTATTGTTTTCCTTTTTTCTGTGGAATCTCATGAATTTGTGGTGGAGTACATTAACGTCATAAGTTCATATATGAATAAAACGTGTAGGAATATCTTTTGTTCGACGTTAATCCTTTCAACCGCAAATTAATAAGATTTCACATTAAAAAGAAATTAATGGAAAAAGAAATGACCGTTTCTCTTCAGATTTCGATTCAAATGATGAATCTGAATGCAAGATGAGAATCTGTATCTTCATTTAGTGTAAAAGGTGTATTTCGCGTAGGAAAATGACATTTAAAGAAGCTTATGTTGCTTACTAAATCTTCCGTTAATGGTTAAAAGAATGACATTGACTGAATGGGTAAAATTGGTATTTTTGATAAAGAATATGAAATAATGTATTGTATAACCCAGAGGGTACTGCTCAACAATTTGACGAATTGTAGTTTGTAGAAATTTTCTCTCGCAAGAGTAAATTATTTTTAATTATTAAGATGTCGACACGCAGCAATTTGTAGTAATAATACGAGACACGAGCACTTGCCAAATGTAGTTTAAAGGCAGTTTTGTAGTGTGCAAGTTTAATATGACAGTGTAGAATATATGCAGAAATTACTGCACATAGACGCAATAACAAAGCAGTAGGTTTTGTGTGATGGAAATGCTATAACTTGAAACTGAACTTTTGAATTTGTTTACGGTTTGTATCCGCACAAGAACATCATATTTCGTACGTAGACAATAAAGGAAACTTATATACAGCGTTGTCGTTCATGACTTTAACATAAAAGGGTCGAATTGAAGCGAGGGGGGGAGGTATGATTCCCACTACCCAGAATGATATTTGTCGAAGAATTAAGCTACAACTCGCCTTTTAATGAGTTTCACCGCAAGTTAGTGATATTCCTCCGCAAATAGATTAATTTCGCCTATACTATACCACTATACGGGGTAAAAATTGCCCCTTAAGGGGGCAGTATGGTTAAAAGCAATATTTTTCGTTGATTTCCACCCTTTTTCTTGAATATCTGTCCAAGATTTCATTCAATCAAAAATTGACTCAATTAAGTTACAGTCCTTAATTCAATAATTATTTGTGAATTTTTGGATGATTTTTCGAATGTTTTTAATGTATATAATTTAGCGGGGGGGGGGTGGGGGTTTTTAAAATTTTGTGAAAGATGTGTATTTTTAGTACTCTGTTTTTTTATTATATTTTTATTAATTTTATTAATCAAAAAAATTAGTGTAAATAATGTTAAGTGTTTAATTTATTAATTATTTGGGATGTTTTGGTGGTTTTTTGTAAATTGTTTTTTATATAGAATTGGGGGGGGGGGGGGGGGGATGTTTAAAATTTTGGGAAAATGTTGGATTTGGGGGTTGTTAAAAATTAAAATACGAAGTAAATAATTATTGGACAATTACTAGATAGCCCACAACCACAACAAGGTGCCTCCCAAATCAACATCATTTCCACAAAAAAACAACCGTAAATGCCCCCTTATACCTATGGGGCAGTTGGTTACCGCAAAGACAATCCAGTCTCAAGCAACTCAAGCGCAACATAAAATGGCCAACAGCCTGAATTTCAGACGTCCCCTTGAGTCGCATACTCCCGAAATGATTAAGATATCCTAAAATTTTAATTAGAAAAACGCCATAATAACAAAGTTGTAACTTGTAAACAAATCGTAAACAATTTGCTATGATTTATAGTTTTTGCTAACAAACCTGTTTTGGTAACGAAGGGCATTAACTTTATTAAAAATGAACCTCAGTATCGTATCTCTCTGTCTAAAACACAGTAGAATCCAACTAGTGGTCTATTATCAATGCTGCGTTGTGATTGGTTGAGCTCCTACTAGGCTATATGTTACAGCCCACTAGTAGCGAAAAGCGCGGGCTTTTTGGCGGCAAAAAAGGATTAAATTCTAGCTTTAACTAGCTAATTTTTTTTATTCTCGATATTTTTGACCAACTAGTTGGATTTTACTAAAACAATTATTCCTCGAACCGGAATGGCCTCCGAGTCAATAGCCCATTCGGCCTCATGGGCTATTGACTCAGAGCCCATTCCGGCTCGAGGAATAATTGTTGAATAAACCTACGTTGATATTCGGAATGTATCAAGAATTGTTTTTTTGCGCTTTTACCCTCACCAGTGATTTTCATCATTCAAAGTAGATGTTTAGCCATTCACTTTAAAATGAGCCCACGCAATTTGTTTGAGTAATGGGTTGTTGAGTGATTGTCGAACTAAAAGGTAACACTGGGAAAAATTGCAAATTAGGGGACTGCGTTCGATGGGGAGGATAGTGAGTGGTAGGGGGAAGGGGGTGCAAAACCTGATGGGCTTGTAATATTGAGAAATCAAAATCAAGCACTTCTATCAATACGAATATCAGCAGCTGTCTTTATCAGTGTTATTGTTTATCCTCCCACTTTACAATTCGTTACTATTTCATTTTTCCTCAACAATGCAAGAGCGTACTGTACTTTCTACATTTACTTGGCTAAACCTCTAAGTAAAGTACATGCAAGTAACAACTGGTCAAACACTGACTATGACCGTTAGGATTTTCCTTTGCACTGTAGGATGGTCAATAAAATTGGCTAAAAATTGGGATACAGAAAATTAAAGTTATCTGAAAAGTTGAAGCGTTGAGTATCACTTTAAACCCTTGTTGCCTGACACTAGGCTAACACGACTCACCTCATCCAACGCACCCGGAATTAGTGAGATGAAAAGATCAACGTTTCACGGTTCAACTTCTTATATATTTTTCAAAAACGGTGACAAACAAAAGCAAATACAACGCTGTAAATAGCTTTTAAAAGCGAAGAGATGTAATTTGTAATAGAATTAAATATGGTCGATCTAAGCTGATCTTGCTTGAATTCATAAAAACAAATACAGTATGCGGAACATATTGTTATCTGATTATCTTAGAATGGAAATTTTCCTATATAAAAAAACTTATAATTGAACTATAAACAAACCCGTAGTAAACAGAAAATCGCCAACGTTTCATCTGTGAACGAGTGTCAAAAAGTAGATACCAGCTCCGGGGTGAGAAAAACTGAACACATGAGATCGAGGCAAAATGTTCCTGGCACAGTCCACCGTCCAAGTTGGCGTCCAAACCGTGAAATCGCATGGCATACAGAACGGTTACTGTTTCATGTTCGGTACACAAATAGTAAGCGTTCTCCTTCGTCGAACGTAATAAAGTAAATTTACTCAAATTATCAACGGTTTAAAACACTGAAAGATGTGTGGCTCCCCGATGTTCTCTTATGATTTCATGATTTCATTATTCAGGGATAAAACCTTCAGAAGTTCACTAAAACTATTTTTTTTCTTTGTGTAGATTATTAGGTTGTTGAAAATAGCTCGAAGAGGACATTACAATGTACGCATTATATCAAGATTATAATTTATAATTCGGTCGTGTTATAAACATTTTATTAGGAATTAAACACCAAGTCCAAGCCTTTAACTCGGGCAAGGACGGATTGGGCTGCAACTTTTAGGGAGGGTGGCGAAAAAACATTGAAATTTGCTAGACTTTCAAGTAACTTTTGCTTGACGTCATTGTCCAGTTGCCAAGACAGGCAAATCAAGTAAGGAATGAGATTCTCTGATGCTGCCAACTGTTGGTTCTCTTTGATGGAAAGCATGTGAACCAACGAAAAGATCCCAAGATTCTGTGTCGATTTGGAACCCGGCCACAAGAAGCTCTCTCCTGAACTTGCTTCTACGAAAGGTGGTTTTGTTTCAACAACTTCCACTGATAACAAACCTTCAGTTTCATCTTTCCTTGTGTTCTCCCGTGTGTTGAAGTCTTCAGTCCATAGGACGCTTTGAGTAACACGTTCATCTTGAATATTGTTAAATTCCCACGGCCCACCAACGCACTCTAACGATAGGTCGAAATCCATCTGACAAATTTCAGCTTGCGGTAGTTGGTTCTCACCCGGGTCATCAAGAAAGGCCTCCTGGCTTTGCTGAGTTTCCCTCTCTAATTCACGAACTTGGTAAACTTCATTGTCAGTGTCTACATCACTATCACAAGTTTCCTTTAAATTGCCTGCCGCAAAGGCAAGATGAACAAGGGGAACCATTGTCATCCACACAAATGACATTTCTTCTTCCCACTCTGAGATTTCCCTTGGAACATGCTTCTCCAAGAACAAGTCAATAAGTTGGTCTATAGTTATGCAAATGTCTTTATCGAGCTGAATCAAAGGAGATGAACGCATTCTCGCAAGGAAGAGGCAGCCATAGTACCTAAGAGAGAAAGGAAAAATGAGATTTTAGAATGCAATAACACTGGACCAAGGGGGCCATGTATTATTTAAAGAGGCTGTGTCTCAGGGATAGAGCGATTTTCGTATGACCTTGACAAAATGGTTCGGTAAGTGTTCGTTATTTGTTTTATCAGCCAATGGATGAAAAGATCAAAACATGGCCTCTTCGTTTTCCCGCCAAAGAAAACCCAAATATGGAGAAGGCATTGTTCGATTGGCCAATCGTGTTGCAGTATGATGTCAGAGCGAAGTATCGGTTTATTTCTAGAAAATTCTCTGGCATGAAGTTTTTTCACCCGAGCGTTCGCTTAACCAACCAAAAGCCATGCGCGTTTGTATCCGTTCGATGAACCAATCAAATCGCTCTATTTCCGTTCGTTTGTTGTTTCTGTTAGTTCGCGTGCTTTCATTTCAAGGTCATACGAAATCGCTCCATTGCTCTTTTAGGTCAATTCTGTGCTGAAAACATTACTAAGAGCCTTTTCACTTACACAAAATGCTCCTGTAGAGTTATGAAAAGGATATCAAACAAATTTAATACGGGAGCACTGCACTAGCCATGATAATTATTTTGGTAATTTCTGCAGGCATAGCATTAAAACCTAAAAAAGTTGGCCCAATTTTTCCAAGTTTCAATCTATATCCATCCTTCAGTGATCCTTGCCATCCATACCAACGGGTGACAGCAAACAGTTTAAATGCTTAAATATAGTCTTAAATAACAAAACTGGATGATTAGTTTTCAAAGCGCCGGACCAGTAACAAAAGCCTATTTTTCCGAGGCACCGCCGGAGAAGCAATTGAAAAGATGTTAGTAGGTGGAGATCCAAGACATTCTAACATGGACTGAGCCTTTCACAATCTTCCAGCTGGTCTTGTGCTCGATACACCCACACCGCTGGTTGGACTTGACTACTACTTATAACTACTTAAAGTACTCAAAGGCCCGGCGTGGATGGAATACGATCTTGCATTCAGGAAAGAAGCTACCGTCTCAGGCCTTTCTGATTCATCCAAGATGAATTTGGGCGGGTATATTTTTCACCTACGATTTCCAGCACCCTCTCAAACGTCGATCGAGTAGTATCCCGGCAGTACGTTCCCTCAACATTGACCATGGCTTACCAGATCCCTTGGTCAACGGTCTTGTGTTACAGCGCTTCCTTTGGGGCATCAAATGGGTTCAGATGTCCAGTGTGTCCTAGTCATCTCTCAATCACGACTGAATGCTTGGGGGTTAGCCAGCGCTCTTTAGACCTGTCTCCTAGAGACCATGTGATGCTGTGGGCCGCCTGTAGTCTGTGGAGTTCACCATGAATTTTGTGTTCCATCCTTGTACCCAATATCAAGGTCAGTGATTTTCAGGCAGACTCACTGGTGAACCCCACATATTTTAAGTTCCACAGTAAGTGTTCGAACACAGATCCCTTTCGTGTGGGCTGTGATGTCTACTTAGGACAGGGCATAATTGCTGCTTATTCTGCCGTGGCATGGGGTAATTTACTGTCCCCTCGTAGGTCTGTCTCTGGGCCATTATTGACATTTGGTAATGGTCGGCCCCTTACCTGGCAGCAGCTGTCATTCACAGCACTTGCAGTCCATCTTACACTAAGCAGGTTTCTCTGGCTCTTATTCAGGTCTTCACTCCCGGATTGGGGCAGCGTCTACTGTAGCAGCAGCAGCAAGCCACAAAGTGCCACATCACCTCAGCAAGACTTTGGGGTCAATGATCTAGTGTTACTTACCAGCTCTACATCCATACTCCAGTCAGTTTGATCGTTCACGTTTCCAACCGGTACCTACTGTACCTACGGTACATTTGGAGCTTACCTGGAGATAGATGCCTCAGGATGGCCCTCTTAGAACTGTGGCTTAGGTATCTCAAGCCTCTCCTCATTGCTCTGGGTTGCATTGGCCCCAACCCAGAGATCCCTTTGGCATGGCACTGGGGGCTTGTGGCTGGGTTTTGGTATCAGGTGGGCCAGTCAGTCGGGTGGTCGGCTCCCCCTTGGGCACCTCACCTCCACTTGCCACATAGGGGTTAATGTATAATAAAAAAACTAAGATTGCAGTCATTTGTTGGATGACTGAGTACGATAAAGGTTTTTCTTAGAGAACTTTCACCTTTAAGGCAGTAACATAAGCCAAGCTTTATTCAACTAAAGAAAGTAACTACTGAGTAGTTAGCTGAAAATTCCAACCTTAAAGCTGTATTGCCTCTCTCAGTGACCAGTAGATGTCTTGTGATACTAATCATTTGTGTCAGTGACCCACAAGATGCTAGTGGAGGTGCTGACTTGACATTAAATGTGCAATAGAACAGAGTGTTAGCTGCCACCTGGCTCGAGAAAAGGGTGTAATCTGGAATTTCAGACTGACAATCCTCTATCATGATCAGTAACTTCTTAATAAATGGTGTCATCTTGGAGACTTCCTCTTGAGTTGTGGAATCACTTTCAACTAATCTGCAAGAATTAAAAAGTAAAAATAAAAAACCACAGCCACAACAAACATTGTGATAATTGAAGAGATCTTAAAGATGTTATAATCAAGGGAAGAAAAAATGTTGAGTCCCCCGAACAATTCAAACCTATGACCTCCCAAACACCAGGCAGCCACCCAATTTATCCACCAAGCGACAGAGAGACTCACAGATCTAGAGCAAGGCCACAATACTAGTAGGTTCATGTTTGACAAGCATACTGTATACAGATACATTTGTAGGATCAGCAATGCTCTGAGCATACTTATTGAAATAATTTCAACACAATTATTGTTTTATTACAAGCATACTGTATACAGATACATTTGTAGGATCACCAATGCTCTGAGCATACTTATTAAAATAATTTCAACACAATATTATTGTGTTGTAGGAATTTATCCTAATCAGCAATTTCTACAATGGTCAAAACTCGTGACTGGATGTATCAACCTACTACTAGGGGACTGTTGCTAACAGCAATCTGTTGGCCAAACCAGCTATTACATCTGTAAAGCACTTATGATGATATAAAGAAAATACAGCAAAGAAATAGCTGACTACACACTTAAAATTTACTACCATGTGAATTGAGGATTTCTAAGGCAGTAAGGACATTTCTAGCTTGTTCAATTGTGTGGCTGTAACTTTGACTGGTTTTGTAGGTGACCTTCACTTCCCTCAAGAGCAAAAAGCATAATAAAGTTCCAAATAATTTGAAGTCAAACGAAATTGGTGCCTGGAATTAAACAGAGGCCCTAATTTCAATTATATCTTCAGTACTTGAATTGCAACATACCCTCCACAGCATCCAATAGCTGTTTCATTTACACCAATTTTCAGGCCATAAATGTCAATACCATATGCAACATCATCAGGTAGCTGTGGATGAAGCAATAGGGCATCTATCGTCAAAGGTAACACACCCTTTGACAGGACAAACTTGCGATCCTCAGGAGTCTCTGCAAAGTTCCATAAGAAGCTCAGACAGCAAAGCTGAAGAGCCAGTTGTGTTTGGTTGTGTCGAAATTTGTGCTGATTTATGATCCTACGTTCATCATCAATAACACTGTTGATTGAATTTATACTCAACGTTATAATCATGATTACTCATTCTACGAATTTAGAAACATTCACTATATCATGTTACCTGACTTTATTAACTCTATAATTTCACAATTTTTCAGAGTCCAAGTAAGCAATATTTAAGTCTAATATACAATTTAAGCTTCCAAATCCATCATGATACCTTTCTGTTGTGATCACATTTTTCATGCTTTTACAGGCAATTTATGAGGCACAAATTATGTCCAGGAACAGAAGACAACTTCACTGCCTGTAACTCCCATGATACATTTATGGAAAACTGTATTGCAATGTAGAACAGGGGAAGCTGTAGTCATTATGCTAGTTTAAAATTGGGTGGGATACTCTATGGGAAATATGCTCTGAACATGTAGGGCTTGATTTTTCTCAGTATACATGTTACAGCTTAAAATTAAATAGAGTTCAAGGTGAAATAATTTGTTAACCCACATAAAGGTTGATAATTCTCAATTTTCTTTGTCTCCAAGCATGTGATAAAAAATTATTCAAGAATTAGGGGTAGGAGACAAAGGAAATTGAAGATCAACTTAGATTTAAAAATTTTAACCAGAATTTAATTTTGAGCTGTAACATACACAATCTAAAGGCCTTTTTTCACCCTATCCAACCCCAAACAGACAATTTAATACTCATTATTATAAAGAGCAATTAAAGAGTACAGCTTCCTTCATCTTCAGGAACCCAGTCAGTGGAGAATGGTCAGAACAAAGAGTGGTACTGTTACATTTTCTTTAGTTGTATTCACGAGGCTGAGGAAAAATAATGTGCATAACTTAGATTTAGATTTAGCTTTAGCTTTAAACTACAACACTTCAACTACATTCATTTCTGAGGCCAAAACACACATCTCTCTTGAAAAAAATTCCCAGTTGTGGGGAGCAATGAGAAGAGACTGCATTAACAGGTTTAAATTAAGAGCTTAATTAGTGGGTAAAAGACTTAGAAGAACTCACTCATCATCATCCTCAGTGTGATCAACCACATGCAACTGTCTTGAAAATTTTAACACCTCCAAAAATGCATCAAAGCCTCCTTCTTGCACAAAATAGTGTCTCTGTGCAACAGATCGCAAGCTTTTCCATGGGTAGAAAAATTGGGCAAGACCCTCAACTCCATTGACAAGTCTGTCATACAATCTCCATAGGGTATAAGAGGGGTGCTGTTCTATCCTGGGCAATTCTCTTTGGAGGTTTTGCACGATTTCTTGAGCAGCACTCTTCAGATCAGTAAGGAATTCACATATACCTATTATGTCCGCCATAGCAAGAAATTCAAGATGGAAACATTCTCCCTCCCGGAAATACAACCTGCTAAGAAGCATGTCATCGTCTGTTAAGAGTTGGCCATAATAAAAAAGTTTCTGGTCGCAAACAGGTGCTTGAATAGCATCTTGAATGGCGTGTTTTACATCTCTAATGCTTGTGGTGTTAAGATCGCCCACAGTAATCTTGGTTTTCCCAGATTCTCTGTTATGCTTGCAACTGTAAAATACTGAGATTTGCATTTTGCCAACTTGCTTTCGAACACAGAATTGGACTTATAAGGTCCCATAAATTTGTTGATGACGTCAAACAGTCAACTTTTGTAATCTCCGGAACTGATAAAGAATTGTAAGCCTTTTTTCCACAGAGAAAACCGAAATATAAAGAAAAGTTCCTCTTTTCAAGTGGTGATTAAGGGATCCGCCATGTTGACATGTAACTCGTTCCCAGTGCCCACTTGAAAGTGATCGAGCGCGGGAGCGCATTCTTGTATTGACGGGGGGAGGGATAGCCTGCGTTGCAGCAGGGCACGTTTCATTTTCAGTTGATTTATAATGCGAGAAAAAAAAATATACAGTCATTCAATATGTCATAAAAATGATAGTTAAAGATTAAAAGTGATGTGAATTAATTAGAGGTATTTTTCAGGCGAGGAAGCTCAAATCGCTTGCGTAAGCAGCGAGACTCATAAGGTGCAACGCGTTTTTCACCCCGGGGGGTACTCCCTTATATAGGCTATATAGGTATGTGCGACGCCAAAGGGTACGGTATGTTTTTTTAGCCGTTTTGGTCTGAAATACTGGGGTATCAATTTCGACCATTTTGGTCTGAAATAGGGTATGGTTTGTGCATTTGCACTCTAGTCTTGTATTCATGGGTAGGTTTTTTTAGAAGAAGCTACTTCTTCATCATTTGGCGATAAGACCGTTTCCCTTTTTAATAGCCTGAATCAGTTCGAGTCTTTGTATATTAGATATAAATGGTTGGGAGGTCATCCTGCCAGGCGTTCCTTGCGGAGACCGTGGAAACTGGGACTAAGAATCTTTGCGTGATCGAAGCCACGCTTGCTTTGGGAAGAAACTAAACTACGAGTAGTCCCCCATTTTTCCTCAGGGATAGTAGAGCGAGCGAAACGATCCCTGAGGAAAAATGGGGGACTACTCGTAGTCTAGGAAGAAACGCTTGGAAAAAATTAAATTTAGAACTTTTGCGAAACGTGTCGGTCCACGAATTTTATCGCTTAAAAGTGTTGATTTTTTTTTTGGAACAAGTGAACATGACCACTACTGAGTGGTCGAAAAAAAAACAGAAGAATCTTAGTTAGCAAAACTGCGATGTTCGGGTCGTGTTGTAAACTTTCATTGTATGCAAATACATCATGTGATGAGCATGCAATGGATTTATTTTTCGGCGATGAGTGAAACGACGTGCCATGTAAATCACTTTTTTTAATTTCTGGCAATGATGAAATTTCTCTGGAATCGTAGCCTGCGTAGCTGGCGGTATTGTGTAGTGGTCGAGTGAGATTTGGCGGCGGAGCCGTTGTAATATAGTCGAGTGAGATTTGACGGCGGAGCCGTCACGAGCGGCGAAGCCGCGAGAAACAACCGCCTCGTCCCTACTCCTTTTTTTTGGAACACGGCTCCGCCGCCAGAACTTTAATCTCGCACCCACACAATACCGCCAGCTACGCAGGCTACTGGAATCGAGGCCCTTGAATTTTCGTGTATTTACCAGGGGCACCAAGAGACATCATGGGAGTCGTACTCGGCAGTAAGAAAAATGGGTACTAGCATGATACAACTCAAAATCTTAAACGTCGATAAAACGGCTTCCAAATGACTCTAGAGGCGAAATAACAGTAAATAACAAAACACGAATACAAGGTAAGTCATTTTTATTTTTGTTGAAAAATGGAATGTAGGACGTATTTTGTTTATTTTCATACATTCTCTTACAAATTCAAAGTCCAACGAACTCCCACATAGCCTGCGTAGCATGGCGGTTTTGTCGAGCCGGGCGCAGGAGCGGCGTAGCCGCGAAATTCGCGCGCGAAGCGCGCGAGAACGAGCGGCGAAGCCGCGAGAAAAATAATAATTTCAAGTTGCTTCCGCCCCAATCTCCTCGCGGTTTCTCTGCCCTCGCCCGCCTTTATTGCTTAGCGCGCCCAACCAAAATCGCCATGCTACGCAGGCTAACTCCCACAGAGCTTGGGCTGCCTGCGTTTTTACAGGAAATTCATAAATTGTCTACTAAAACATTGTTAAAATTGGAAGAATTGCTCAGAATACAAAAAGTTTCTCGAAAAGAAAAAGTTGCTCGAAATACGAGAATATGCCGAGCAAACTTGTGGAAAGCCTTATCTCCAGAAACTGGAAAATGAGGACAGAAGCGACAACCGGAAGGGCTTGTGCGCGTTTGTTGCGGGGGGCGTTTGTTATGTTGCTGGGTTCAAGGTCCAATGCTAGGTGCAGCTACGAATGCTGGGAAATGTTTAGATGGCGACTTGCTTTTGATCACGGTGCGTCCAATCTATGTGCTCTGATTGTTAAACGTTTCCCTTGTTTTGGTTTCTTCGAAAGCTAAGCAAGTAGTATTACCGGATACATAAAAAACGGACGGAATGATATGACTTGAAGGACATCAAAGAATGCCATATTTTGATGAAAACTCCGGGTGAAAACTCCACGTTTATGTACGAACATTAGAGGGATCTAGGACGCAGGCCTCATGAATCTCAACGTTCAGTTCACTTGCTTGGATTCAGGTAAAACCGAGATTATAAAAATAACGATAAATGACTTGGATAACATGTCAGTAAAAGAACTGAAAAAGATTTTGGAGGTAGAAATTCAGGTACCTGCATGTGACCAAGCCATCTTTTTCCAAGGGAGGTCGTTAAGTGATAATTCATTCCCTCTTAAAAAGCTATATCTGCGTCAAGGTGATACTGTTTTAGTGGAATGCACAGCTCAGGGCTATCTTTCGGAGATGAAAGATCTTTTGGAAGAGGTTACAAGCTTTGCGGACTCAATAACTTGTCGGGATCAAAGCGATTTGTTGACGGTTTGTTCCAAAAAGGACATGAGCGATTATGTCTCTTACGACAACATTTGTAGAGTTCTAGAACATTTGTCATTCAGGTACTTCATTCCATGGAAGGATACGCAGTCTATTGTACATCGCCATTACTTTGTACAAGAAGGTGCTTTTGATTCTTTTATGGAAGTTCTGAAGTTTGCTAGTAGAAGGTACAGACTGGAAGAGAAACCAAACTCGAGGTATGCTTTATAGTTTTGTTATGTACTAGTCAATACCCCATTTTACTGTTACAGGTGAAAACGAGGTTGTGGTTGACCTTGTTATGATAAAACCCTTCCTGCTTTTTTAGGTAAATCATGTTGTTCTTACAATTGCTAATTTGTTAGTATTTTTTTAAACAAATTGTTTACAACAAAAGGAAAGAGGTTTGTATTAAAACTAGCTCAACCTCAGTCTCACAAAGGCTAGGTTACTAAACCCACAACTGTAAAATGGTCTATTCCAAAACTGCTGCACCCATGCCCCCCAACCCCTAGCCCTAACCTAACCCCTTACCCCCACCCCCCACCCCAAAAAAAGAAATTTTTGTCACGACTCTAGTTCATGGGGGAATGTTAATCAGCTGTAAATTAATGCTTAAATTAGTAGCCAGCTTCAAATAAGCATAAATTTCCTTCAGCCTGAAAGTCAATTATAAAAATAAGCATCCC